GCGAATGAACGATCCTTTAGTGGATATATGGATTATTGCTGAAGACAATGGATCGATTTGTTCAGCTCACTGCTTGGGCTGTAAAGCAGGCCTAGYTGAGTCGTGTTCTCATGTTGCAAGTGCTCTATTTTATATTGAATGCTGGACACGAATCAACGGCAAGTTAGCTTGCACCCAAGTAAAGTGCACTTGGATTCTWCCAARTTTTGACAGTGATGTCTCTTATGAAAGAGTCAAAGACATCGATTTTACGTCATCAGCTAAGCTTAAACAAAACCTAGACGAAAAAATAGATTCCATCAACGAAAATAGTGGAATAGAGGAGAGTTTATTAAAGTCTGAGAGCACAACACCTTCCACACAAATTACTAGTGTTTCAGCACAGGAATTAGCCAGTGTATACAAGAAACTGAAATTGCAATATCAAGCCTGCACTTTTGAGCCTTGTTGATCCTTATGCTGACCAGTTTATATCACAGAGTCGTGAGATACCAGTTATTCAAGATCTTTATGATCCAGCCAACTTGCAASTTGAGTATCCTGTTCTTCYSCGTAAATGTTTGGATGTCAAGATAGACATAACAGAGGAACAAATTAGCACCGTTGAGCGGGACACAAGAACACAGTCAAAAGGTCCAGGTTTCTTTAGACACCGGGCGGGGAGAATTGGGGCTTCTGTGTGTGGAGCTGCCTTTCACACAAACCTGTGTCAACCATCGCAGTCACTGATTGAATCAATATGCYATCCTAACTTGTACAAACTGAACTCAAGAGCAATAAAGCATGGATGTAAACATGAGCGAAATGCAATAAATGCTTACAAACAGCTCATGCAATCAAAGCATGTTGAAGGTCGAGAACTGTGGGCTGTTGATAAACAAGGATTACCCATATCTGCATGCAACACCAGACTTCCTTGTATCTTGTGATTGCTGTGGWACAGGATGTGGTGAAGTCAAGTGCCCATTTATCATAGAAGATTGTGACTTTGACAAATATTTGTTGAAAAAAATTCATGTATGGAAAAGGTTAATGGAAAGTTGCAKTTAAAAAAACATCACAATTACTACTTTCAAGTACAGCAGCAGTTATTCACTCTTTSAGACAGGAAGTATGCTGATTTTGTTGTCTTTGCAATTGATAGTTTTGGAAACACTCACATTGTCTGTGACAGGATTTATCCTGACCCACAACATACCAAGACTGTTGTTTACAAGCTAGAGATTTTCTGGAGGATTTGTATACTTCCAGAAATCCTAGCACGTTGGTACACAAGGAAGTGTAATTTACCTGTGAAAGCTGCTGACGAAGAAGGTATCTGTTTTTGCAGAAGGAAGTCTAGCGGCGAGCTCCTGTCATGCAGCAACAATGAGTGTCCTTATGGCACATTCCACAAAGAATGTCTTATGCTTGATAATACAGCAATTCCTAAGACATGRTACTKTCCGCATTGCAGTAGACTTCCTCAGTTTAAGCGTACACGTGGAAAGAGAAATAGCAAGCAAAGTACCATAGATCMGACAACCATCTCYAAACCTGTTTGTCACTGTAATACCAAGCCAGCCCCAACAGATAGGCTTGTTGAGTGTCATGGCACCAATTGTGAGAGTGGACATTATTTTCACTTGAGTTGTTTGGGTCTCAAGAGGATGCCACATAACTCAAAAACAACATGGATGTGTATGGCCTGCAGAAAAAAGCAAACAAAACCAAGCAAAACCAAGTCAAGTAATTTACCAGATCTCTCACAAGCACCAACAGGTCCTCCCAAAAAATGTACACCAAAAAATGTACACCAGGCACTACCACTTCTACTTCTTCTGAGTTAATAGATGTATTAACTGAATTGAATCAAAATGTGACAGTGACATAGAAATAACTAAAGTTACAATAGGTTCTGTTAACAAATTCGGAGTTCTTGCACAATTAACTTCTTCTGATTATGCAACCATTAAAAATCCAATCGGATGGCTTACCTGTGATATVATTCAAGCTGCTCATGTCTTACTACAAGAAGTAAATCCATGCATCGAAGGACTGCAGCGTCCAAACCTCGGACGCTGTAGAAACTTTAATGTTGTTACAGGAGATTTTATCCAGATTTTACATACAGGCAATGATCATTGTGTGTGTATTAGCTCTTTATTATGTCAGACACCTGGASATGTGTACCTCTACGACAGCTTATTTCATGAAGTAATAAACCAAGAGGTAGAAGAACAGACAATTGACTTGCTGGGTGGCAATTTGGTTAGTTTGACTTCTGCACCAGTACAACAACAGAATAATGGCAGTGATTGTGGGGTTTTCTCCATTGCATTTGCTACTTCATATTGTAGGACGTCAAAATAATTTCAACTTTTACCCCTCCTTTGACACACAGAAAACACAATGTTTGAGGAAAACTAGTTTCGTCTTGCTACTTGTCTAGCATTTTCTATGGATCCCAGTCATGTGACTTTTGATGTCCCAAAGATGCGTCCACATTTAATATCTTGTTTGCGAGATGGAAAAATAAGTACTTTTCCWGCATTTTGAAAACAGTAGATAACTAAGATTTTATTTTACTGTTCTTGTGATAGCATAGAGCAAATTCAGTTCAACCATGAAATAGCAACAAATTAAATACTAGTAGTCCCAAAATAGCTGTTTGTTAATATTAAATTTCATTTCATGGTTTAACTGTAATTGCTCTACATTTTTCATTCCATTAGAACAATTTCACATAAYGATACAAAAAATGCAAATAGGTTTATTTTATGCAAATTTATTGACTGTAAAATGAATTCATGTCATCATGTAATACAGACTCTATTCTCTCACTTATTGCAGCTTTTTTGCTACTTTATATTATCATTACATCACAACAAAACACGAACATGTCATTTTACAAGCAGACTTGACATGCTTCAGTCTTTGTGCCAAGCTTTGCTATAATTTCTATCATCGGCACATGCAGAAACTGTACCATGCAGCATCTAGTACAAGCTTAGCTTCAAATATTTTCAAAAAGCTTGACACGCCTTTCGGCCAAATTACCACAAGATCAATACTATAGCATAGCAGGAGGGAGTAACCACCTTGGGTGTCTCTTGGGAGTCAACTAATTTTAAGCCGAGCAAAGGCTGGCCAACAAAAAGTCAAGTCCGTAATKATATTTGGACTCAATAAAAACTGCTTTGTTTTGCTCGTGATGAATAACATTAAAATCTAATTATAAGATAGGAAACAATGCTSTAATAAGTGAGAAAATAAAGCGTGTATTGCATCATTACATGGGTTTATTTTACAGTCAATAAAATTTGCATAAGATAAACCTATTTGCATTTTTTGTATCGG